CTAACTACCTCATGCAATCGCTTCAATACTTGCAGATAATAATCTTGGTTCACTGGGGTGTCGTGACTAAAACGTGAAAGCCCGCCTTGATGTCGAAAAGTAACCAGGGGCGCGTTCCTCCATAAAGTTTATTGTCGCAAAATCGGTGAGAGGTGAATTTTATAAAGCAATCAGTCTGTCTGCTAAGATGGCTTTTTTATGAACGTTACTTGGTCAACTGGACAGGAGAGTGTCAAGTTAAAGTATTTAGCGGGCAGGCGCAAGACTGCCCGCCTAATCGCCTACATAAAATATATTTTTTTATCCGTCTAAGTTGAAGGGCAGGCATCCCAAGAAATGTTATTGGTAGGAAAGACGTTTTTTGGGCAAAACAAGGTAAAATTATTCAGTAAATATTCGACGCTGGATCCATAGATCCTCGTCAGACTTAAGAAGCTACGCAACGAACAATTAAAATTTCAAAAGTGCTGATACAATTATATAGTTCAGTATAGTTTAGGGTAATAGGCAACGCCTTTGAGTACCCTAGTCATCTAGTGTAAGAACTAATTGGCAGCTGCAAATGGCGTCAGTCCATGGTGGACAAATTAATAGTCGTACTAGCGTGATCGCTAATTGGCAACTGTAATTTGCGTCAGTCAATGATCACCCGGCGTGGACGTTAATTACCAGTTGGCGCGTACGTTAGTCCGTACTGATCGGCTTTTTTGTGTACCTGCTCGTAGTTCAAAGCATATTTACGCCACATCTTTTTCACCTCTACACATATTAAACTCACTCTGATCCCAACTCCAGACCTAACAGATTACTGTGAGGCTGCTCGAACCCATGTCAGGAAGCATGTGCTAAAAACCACATTAAGAGGGAATCATCGCATCCACCCTCAGTCCTGAGACGGACCGAATTGGCAGCCTTCCCGGCGATTAACCTTATTTCGTTGGAATACAATCAAACACGTTCGATTTCTTATTAATGAGTAGTGTGTCGATTTGACGTTGGGAAGGATTTTCCAGTGTTGGATTCCTTCTCTCCCCATCTCCCTCCTTCCCTACCACGCACCATTCGACTGTCCGAGTGGGCCAATCAGCTGGCGATTAATTTCGGTGCAGGGGGAATGACGAAGATGGACGGCCCGTCTACGTGTGCCACCCACGTTCTGGTCTCCAATTCCTGAGCAGGGCTACGCGAAAGAACATACTCACCACTTAAGTGGCATGTGCATTTACTTAAATGCGGCGTTTTGCCTACTACTTCAGCGCTGGCGAAGTGGAGTGCGCTTCTTCTGTTGGGGTTAAGTGTGCTGTTTTGCTGAAAGCTGACACACATACGTACTCCTTTGAGTAGCCTACTCGGTAACCTCATCGATCACGACGTTAGTAAGGCGTAGGGTGTTTGTGTGTGCAAATATTTTCAGGATTCATTAAGTGTTCTGAACCGTGCGAAAAAAATTGTCGTTTGGGATTCATAACCGAGGTGGTCCTAGAAACGGTTAGATTCGGTGGTCTTCTAGCATCAGAGATCGAAATTCTAAGCGTGGTATGTAGATAATAACTTTTTCGTCATCGAACGGGATGAGGTAATATCGTTCCAAGACCGTCTCAGTATCGTCCCCTCGTGACGTACAGTATACGATGCAGGGGGAGGATACAAACAGCTGGCCTTCTTTGATGTCCTCATCTACCGCAAATATTGTAAGGGCTAAAGACAAATGTGTTCAGAAAAGTGAAAAATGCGATGCAAGTACTGTACTTCAGTAGCAGTCACCCATTCAGTCACAAAAGAAGTCACGTAAGGGGCGTGTTGGGACTCACAGCAATGAACCGGGAGACTGGGTTGTCAAACTTCAATATGTTCGACGGGTGTTGCTACTCGCACAACTTAGTGAACCACTGCATAAGCAAACGAGACGGGCGACGAAATTGCATAGACGCTTACTTTTAGGGAGTGGTTTTGTACGAAAAGGAGGTTTTAGAGGCCGTTAGTCGCCTTCTCGCGCCTCTTGGAATTGGAGTTGCCCACAGGCCGGAGGCAACCATAAGGCATCAAGTAATGGAAACAAAAACTCTACTGCCACGGTGAGAAACGCTGGAAGTCGCTTATCATATCTGGTGCGGTTATCTTCTTCGGAGAAATTGCAGAACGGCTTTGAAGGCGAATGATCGAACATGTGATGGCAGTGCGGAGGAGGGATGCCAACTCTCAAGTCGTGGCTAATTCGACGAGACCTGACTGCACATGCAAATTTGATGAGACCGAAGTGCTGCCTGGGGCATGGTACACGGGCCTCCAGTCTGCTAACAATTGCGATGACTTGTCCATCCCATAGTCGTTAAGATCTAGGTTGGCCAACGATATTAGCCACTCGGGACAGGGACGTATGCAGACGAACACGGTTTCCGGCGTCAGTGCCGGCGAGCCGGATGGCCGAACAGTCATAACGCCAAAATCCAACACGGCTGATGATATTTCAGTGAGTAAAGACTTGCATGCCAGTGATCAAGCAATTAGCGCACCAGGAGAAAATCGTTCCTGATGAAGGTGGTAGACATCCATTTTCATAGTTATACGGTAGCATAGTGACTTCTTCCTACAAATACTGCAATTCTCTCTGTGTATGTATTACCCCCTATCTGATGCTGTCTCATATGCTACCTTTGAGTATGAATCAGAAACGTCGGGTAAATAAAGTTTTTGTCCCTGCGACTGCGTCTTACTCTTCTTCCAGTTCACTCTTCTTTTCTAGCTACCCGTAGTAAGGCTAATATATTGAAACAGACAATTATCATTTGAAGGCAAAAAAGCAACTTCATTGGGTAAATTTTGGATGCTCGTTCCCAGGTCGTCTTAAGAGGTGAGTAAATGTGCAAAGAACAATTAAAAGTACAAAAGTGCTAGAAAGGTCAATAGTCATCTAGTGTGAGCGCTAATTAGTGGTTACAGTTTGCGTTAGTCCATATTGATCACCTGTAGTCTCTTCCATTTTCGTTTGAAATTTTTGTACACGACATCTAACTCAATATGACGATTGATGCATGAGTCATCAGAGTGCATGGCCTCAAGAAATGTTTGGCCTTTTTTGGAAGGGCAAACTCCGACGCTGCGAGTTGTGTCTCACGCGAAGGCGCGTGCTATATCAAGGCTGTGCATGGCCACTTGCTACAGATAGTCACGCATCTTAACTGTCAACTGATGTTGGTGGAGGTTAAATTTTCCGTTTGGCTACCATGTACGACATCACAAGCTTTGCATGGAATCTTGTAGACGACTTCTTCCTTCTCGAGATAGCCAATCCTATCCTTAGGGTGAACAAGCTGGTTGCGTAATGTAGTGGTCAGTTTGTATGTCACTTTTATTTCGTATTTCCGCAGGTGCCTTTCAACGAGTTCAGAGTCATTCCTCATACAAGGGAGGATTCGCAATGTATTTGTTTTGGGCGCTTTAATGGTACAATCGAGTTCCCCTTCTGTGGATTCTTGTTTTTTCATGCATCGCTGTACAAAGTCTCTGCGGTAACCATTTTGGGAAAATAAATCAAACAGATAATTTAGCTCGACCCGGTAGATTTCTTCGTTAGAACAGTGTGTTCTTCCTCAATGTAGTACACGGTTGACCTTCCTCATTTTGTGAGCGACTGGATTTTCATTCTCATAGTGAAAAAAACTTCCACATACGTTTCTTTGCTGTAAATGCAGGTGTGTAATGTTCGGTCAGTCTTGCGCTGTAACAGGACATCCACACGCATCCAAGAACATACACTGACAGTGATGAGACGTCGCCATCTGTCCCAAGTGGCCGTGCATAGCCTTGATACAAGACACTCCTTCGCATGGGAAAAAACTCGCATCAGCGAAGATTGCCTCTCCAAAAAGGTTGAGAATTTCTAGCTCTTCGTAGTCAGGTTAATATTTTGAAATAGACGGTTTTCATTATAATTTTTTAATAATGCACTGCTTACGCCCGCTACCTGGTCTTATTCCTTTCAGACATCAACGAACAGGTCGCCTGATCAGAGAGTGTTGCCTTCAGCTCAAAGCTCCTACCACGCTGCTGAATATTCGCCCCAAAAAGGTATTCAGTTATTAAATTTTGCTGCGAAATTGTCGGTCGAGTAGTCATGGGATGCAAAGGGAAGAATCCAGTTCATCTGCGTGGACTTTGTCCATTAAATTTAGCGTGTGCTCCAAAGTATAGCCTCATATAGCCTGCTTGTACTTTCTTGGATGACTGCGATTTGATTTTCCGAGGTAGTCCTTTGACATGCTGATGTCACCGCATGACCTCATGAACTGACCTAGCTTTGCATGCAACCTCCCAGTATTTGACGATGGTATTGTATGTAATCCCACCTGGTTGTTGCCTCCTTATCGACACTCGTTGATTAGTGTTCACCGATTGCTAACAGATCTCGACCATCCTGCTCTGCCTTGGGGCTCATTCTCAAGCTCCACCAGAAGCTGCACAGCGACTTGTAATCTACGCAGGTGGCACTGCCGGCAATGACAAGGAAGGCTGGAATGGCCATTTCTGGCTCATAAGTCTTCATCAGCCAGTCATCTCCGACCCCAAGTGGTGCCCCAACCGAGGCTCGAATGCACTTAGGGTTGGGAATGACTGGCTCATCATAGGAAATTGTTCTGCGTTATTTGGCAGCACTTCTGTCTGGAGGAGTGCAGCCAAAACCTATGTGAGGTATCATACGGTCTGTTAGGCAAAAGGAAATATTTGAACGGATTTCCTACTTTGAAGGAGTCGGTAGTGTTTAATGCCAGGACAGAAAACACACGGCCGGATAGAATTGGTGGATTTTATACGTCTGTTGTTACCCCACTTATGATAAACTGGAAGCGGTCAGTCGGAATGTTGGGGCTAGGTTTGCGGGATTAACGCTGAATGTTCATGTCCCGCAGGGTTGTCTAGTGTTTATACTTAGGAAATGCATTCTGGCAATTCACCGGTAAACAGTTGCGTATGCCTTACTTCGTCCAACCGCAGAATTAGCGATGTATCTGGACAGCATAACTTTCTACTGGAAGGTAAGGCTTGTATCGAGCGGACTCCGGCTGAAGTCCAAGACCGAGGAGTATTTACACCCTGAAACTTTACAGGAACACGATAATTTAAATAGGTTGGCTGACCAACTGCCTGGTCTTGTGTCAGCGCTTTATCGTAAATTTACCTTCGGTTCTATTTCCTACTTGTCACATGCATGGCTTGCGCACCTGTCTTTCCGCATTATGTACCTCACTTGTCTTCCTCACAGTAGCAACAAGCTCCACCCCAGGTGTGAGCTCGCCTACCCAGGAAGTTGTCTCGACAACTCAATCACCCCTTTCGCCTGTGGCGGCCAGTACGGTGCCGCTGACAGGCAGCACCCAGCAGCCAAAAAGTCCCCCGAACCTCCGAATGCAATGGAGTCAAGCGCCAAGCCACCCGGAGAGGTAAGTGTTTCCAATCGCACTGCAGCGACACGGAGTGATATTTAGTTTAGTTTAAAAAAAGCCAGCATTGCAGTCTTGACTGGAGTGATACCCTTTGGTCATTTCTGTCCATTGTTTTATAAACTGGGGCACCATCAACTTCGCTTGTTATCATTCTAAAACTATTTTTTTTAAATGAACACCGCAAAAGGATCAGGTAACTATTCTTCTCCAAATCGATCCGCGTGCATTTCGGTTTTCTAAGCGTTTCTTGCATCGCAGGGAATTGTTTGACGTCGGAAAGTGTCGCAAGATGATCGTTGCCGTCCTCGAAAGGACCTTTCTTCCAAACATAATTAGGAAATCTTTGATGGTTTTGCACACGTCGATGTATAGCACCAGGGGGCGGGCCAATATATTCCGAATTGTATATAGTTATACTGTGTTGGACCTCTGCCATGATATTTCGTCCCCATAGTGGACTGCTCTACAGATGCGCCAGACCAAACCGGGATCAGGCTTACTAATTTCACGCGTTTTGCTAATTACATTGGGTCCACCTAAACTCCTACCTACTGTTTTAATGTGGGGCTCGGAAAAGGATATGT